AATTCTCGCATACTTCTGGCGGACGCGCGATTTGATGCGCTTAGGTTCGGTCGACGTTTCGTGGCCCCCCGAAAATGGTATAGCTGCTCCGAAAACTTTTATCCGTTCTCAAACGGTCTCTGCTGGGGTCCCGATGTTTTGCTCCTTTTTTGATGTCCATGTAAATTAATATATATTATATATATTATATGATATATTATATATATATATCTATATATATAATATATGAATTAATTGATATATATTAATAATAGGCCTCATATCCCATAGCCAGACTCTTCGCGTCCTTCAATAGCCATAGCCAAATTTGTTTTATAGCACGTAGGGATTTAAAATTACATTTTTTTGCGTTATTACCGGTGCGAAGTGGATCGGATGGTCGTAATTAGGTTAAAGTCTCAAGACGTTAAAATGTAAGTCAATCTTCAATAAAAAACAATTATAATTGGTTTCGTTTCGTTGTAAAATCTATGATTAAGTTGCAAGAAGGTGTATAAGACAGTAAAGGAACACGTTTATATAGGAAAATGTTTGTGACATTCGTTACAAATACACATTATTGGTCTCCGAGATACTCGTCCGATTTTAATTTACGATGTATGAACAAGATTATTTAACTGGGATTAAACGCTAGTATAAATATTATTTAGGCTTACTTAAATATCAATTAAAACCCCGACTTAGTTGTAGAGTTTGAAGGACGATGACTTCAATCGTCCGAGTCGTCATTTGCCTTAAAACATTTCTTTGTCTTTTTCGTTCATAGGTAATGATTAGCGATGGCGATGTTTCAGGTGACTAATCAGGTTGGAAGTATTATAGCTCGTTGCCTTTTTCCCTCCTCGTGGAACTTCTGCATTGCATTTGTTAATACAAATAGCAAGCGAACTATCTAACTCTGAAACTTTGAAATAGTCCCATACTACCGACAACATGTTTGTTTACTGTCCTGGCTTCACGGCCGCACACCATTTACGTCACAGCCAGGCATGAGTTAGGGAGCGCTGGATTTGTGAAAAACTCCACTCTTCCTAAACCACTAATACCACAGTACTGGCAAAACGGGAGGAGCCGAGTGAAAAACAAGCGCCCCTCATCCCAATCCACCCACACCCCAGTATTTTTTTCTTTTTTTTTACCCAAAAAATATATTGTATATTATCGGGGCTATTAATACTTTTATCGGGTTTATCGGGATGACGTCATAATTCCTAATATCGGACCGATAATTATCGGGCCGATAATTATCGTGCACCATTATTAAAATTACTTAAGATTACTGACATCTATGATACCTTCCTATTTTTGTATTAGCAAAGGTCAATGGAAACATACAAGGAGCTATTGATGAATTTCTGCCAAATCCTTATGTTCCTTATTATTTCTTAACTAAATCGTAGTAGGTATGGTTGAAAAGTCCTTACACATATAGATAGTTTAATCAATAAACGTAAATTTTTTCTGCAAACGAAAACTTCTCCCGTTTGAATAATTTAAACGATGCTGTTATAATTACAACAAAACATGTATTGTTACAAGAGTCACATTAAAACTGTAATTTATTTATTTTTATCTCATTTTATTCTCTTTGTTCTGCCATTTTTCTGATGTACCGCAGAGCTTTGTCTGTTTTTGCCCTTGTCCTCCTTCCCTTCATCTATCCTTTCTGCTCTGCTTCGCAACATTCAGAAGTCAGCACTGTGATTCTAATCAAGATTAAACATTGTAATCTGTGTGTGAGCATGCGTGCGTGCCGTGAGAGGGTGGGGCCTTCACACAGTGAAGAAGAGTGAGGAGAAAAAGCTTATAAATGAGCACGAAAAGACAGGATTACCCTGACCCATTGCCCCCTGCTGGTCCGTATGAAAGTTTATCACGCCACCAGCTACACGGCTGGAACAGGGGTTGGGGGAGGCCAAATCAGAGTTAAAAGGTAAGTAAATATTAGGCTGACAAAAGTTGAATTGATATGATTCAACATCAAAGAGATGGTTCAGCATTCACTTCTTGATGATAACATGTTGATTGGTGAGCGTTGTACGCATTGATAGATGTGACAAGGCCAACAGCAACCACTTTAGCAACTGACATATCTCAGCTATTAATCTTTGGTTACATTAGCACATACAGTAAGGCATAGTCAACACCTGCTGCTTTAGTGTAAAGGCATCGACCTTAGCTTAACCTGTTAAGCCCTGAGCCTGGTTTTCAGGTCTCAGGCTCGAAAATGACATGCCCAGAACAAATTACTATATCTTCACTTCTAAAACGGGTAAATTAATAATATTTTTTCTCAAAGCAAGGATACACCTGTGAGTTGGATGTAGAAAAGTCAGAATCAATATAGATGTTTTTATTTTAAAGTAAATTCAGATTGAAAAAAATGTAAATTATAGTTTCCTTCCAAAAAAAAAACTTATAGTGAAAACCACCCTTGAATGATGGGATAGTAGACTAAAAGCTTTAGGAATCCAAACTATAACATATAATAATTACGGAAAACCTGCCCTGTATCAAGATTGATGCAAAACAAGTGACATTTTACCTTTTTAGAGAGGTTTAGAAAAAAAAAAAACCTCTGGGGTCATTTGGTGTATATTTGGGTGTATTTGCCGTTTCTCTGGAACCCATTGGTCGATGTTGGTGATTGACACCTCTTTTTAACCATTAGAGCCAATCGAATCAAGGGGAAGTTCCTAAATCCACCTACACGTTACCATTGAGGAGTGAGAGAGATGGGCACGTAATTTGCCCAAACCGAAAGCTACGTTACGCTCTGAAAGCTGAAAACTAGGCTTATTGATCATAAATATGATGATGGATTATCAGTAATCATTTCAAAGGGACACAGAGACATTAACTTTCAGCAGCGTTTGTATGTGTGTATTGCCATTGAACAAAACTTCTGATCAGAAAACAGCAAAGGTAAGACGTATTTGCCGTTTTGGCTACGTAAAGTGGAGTTGTGTGTTGTCTTTGCTGGCTTTCGCTGCCGCGAGTTATGGTCGCCCAGTGATGATACTTGGAATCTGAGGAATCTCAGCTTTCATATGATATCTTGTTACCCCCACCCACCCTCCGATCGGTATCGGACAATTCTCAATTCTAGGGGTGCACCGAATGGGAAATTCTTGGCCGAAACCGATACCGAAAATAGGAAACAGTTGGCCGAAAACCGAATGCCGAAA